ACCTTTGGCTATAATAGACTTAATAAACAGATTATTTTTTGAAAGGAAAAATAATGAAATAGGAAAACAAAACAAAACAAAAAAACTACAATATCAAAACACTAAAGTAAATAACTAAATAAATTAAAAACCAAAACAAATGTAACAACGAAATGACCCGAGTCCCATTATTATTGTAATTAGTAATATTATCATCATCATCACTATTAGTCTACTTCAGATATAAACACTCGTGACTAAATGACTAATTCCTGTAAGATTAGAAACCAGGTCACGTGGCATTAAAAATACTAGTCATTTACAAGCTATATTTTTGATTTTTTTCCCACGAGTCAAAACATTTCAAAGTGTGTTTTCTCTCTATAATACGTTTTGTACACAACCGCACAGCGATTGGTAGGACTTATATGACTATTTGTCCTGAGAATCTAGTTTGATCGTAAGGGGGGAAAATAAGAAGCTATTGGCGCGCGTTTCAATGAATTCAAACGACTTACACACGATATGGCTGCGCAAAAAAAAACCCTAATAGCTACCTTTTTATGATGTTTATTTGAACAATCTTCAGTCAAAATATAGAGCAAAACATCACGACATACTTTTGAACAAACAGAGAAAACTATCTTTACTAAAACACAAAGAAATCGATATTCTAATCCTTATAAAAAACGTTCACATTTTATCAGTACATTAGAGGTTTAAAATAGCTGTGACGAAATTACGACACAGACGAAGCTGTGAAGCAAACTAGAGCTTAAAATTGGATGTTTTAAGATGTCGGAAATTTCCAGGAGAGTTTGATATTGTTATGGCATTTTTATTATAGCTTTGAAATACCGGTATATTAATTCAAATCCATAAGGTATTCTTAAAGTGTATTTCAGTGCTAATTTTGTCGATATCTGGTGGTCGTTTCTCGATTCTTGACGGGTGATATTTAGTGCACCTCAAGATTTCATAATGATAACAATTCCAAGTCTGAATATTATGAACTAAACAAAAAATTTCTGGAAATTAAAACACATGTTTTATTTATAGCTCCAAGTGGTTTCTATTTGACGGACAGAAACGAAAACAAGGAATAACAATACTGAAAAATAAGAAAATTAAATTGAAAAAATAGAAGCGAAAAATATGAAAATAGTGAAAAATCGGAAAACCATGAAAAAAATTTGCAAATGAATCTTGAATGTTAAGTTAAAAGGAAGTCTGGGAGAATGAACCATATGAGAATATTCATGGAATGAAGTGCATTGGTCAAAGAGCATATTGAATAAATCCACAAAATGATTCAATTTATTAAGGCCCCGTCCATTCGTATCCGGATATTTTTGAAATCGCAACTTTTTTCGTTTCGAAATAGCCTCCTATCCACACGTGTCCGGTGAGTCTTTTTGCTATACTATCTCGTATGGACGGTCGAATCCGTATAAAAAAGTTGCGGATTCAAACTGAAATATCCGAATAGGTGTAGACGGGGTCTTATTGTGAAACCAGGACTCCAATCAAAGACACCAGCCTATCGCTTTTACATCTCAAGAAAAATTGCGTAAAATGTCAATGAGTCACACACACAAGTTGCCGCGTGAGTGAATGAAATCGATGGGGGAAAAGATCACGTGATGTGGTGTCGTCAGCAGTTGCTTAAAATAGATTTAGTGGGAATAAATAGATTTGAAAAGAAAGATGGGTTATTTTTGGAATGATGAAGGACAAAGCTTGTTTCTCTTAGAGACAGAGTTTGTGACTATGTAACGAGACACACTGATGTCACTTGTGAATTTATGGAGTAAATTTGATAGATAATTTAAGCATTAATATAAGAAAAATAAGCAGGCAATTGAAATCACTCAAGTAGGTAGCACATGTAGAAAGATTAGCAAGACTGAGTAACATGTATATCTGGTTATAAGTCGGAGTTTCGTGCTTTTATCTAGACAAGAGTACGTCAATTGATGAGGTAGACTTTTGACATTGAAAATCAAAGATTTACGCTGGGTTTTTACTCGCAACAATAGCGATCTGGAAAACCAATATTACTGTATAAACACTTTGGACTCCACCATTATCTTTACCGTCATAATCATGGATAAAAATCCGACACAGATCGATTAAGATTTGGCTGAATTGTCTATGTGCTCTCTTCAATGCTTTTTGGCAATAGACTGTAATGTCGTTCTGTGATAACGTCACAGACTTTTTGACTGTGAATAACGAAGATTTGAAGCTTGCTATTCATTTTGAACAAAAAATGTACAGAATATTCGAGCAAACTAAACGAACTGCATGCACTGAATTTGAAGTCTAACGATGTCTTACAAATGGTATTAATAATAATAATGAAAAATAAGACTTGGATTTTATACAGATTCGAAAAGAAATGCTGTTTCGAATAATTGTTTATTTAAAATATAGTATCTTATATAGAGTTAAACCAGGTAAACTAATAATAAATTTAGCGAGAAAATTCTAGAGAAATTTATGAATATTTCGGGGAAATTCCTCTCCTCTCACTACAAAGAATGCAGAAATTCATGAAAAATTATACGCAGCTTACGATAATGGTATTATTTTGTGAGAAAAGAATTGCGATGTTATGCGTTGGAAGGGCTGTTTTCGTCAGAGAAAAAGAGTGTCTCAATGGAATTGTGTTGTTGATCTTTTTTCCCCTATAAGCGATAATATGCGAAAACCATCCTCTCAATCGGATTTATCAGTTTAAAAAACCGATCCAAAATCCCATAAAGGAAGTTATTTCAAAATTACTGAATTACCTATTATCGGTGCAATAACACACACACACAAATGAAGCTACTCCATGAAAATTCATTCCGTCTGCTAAAAACAAATTGAATTTGAATAAAGCAGACGAAAAAATAACAAACAAAGAGATCAAGGAAAACGATGTAGTGTCAGACAATTGAAACACTGGCAGAAAGTCCATGGAATTATTCAAGGAATTATTGCTTTCTAATTCAATATTTTTCATTTATTTTAGGGTAAGAGCCTGGGAGTCGTTTGAAAATACAAGAGTTAATTATAGAAGATTCTTTGGAGTTGTGTAAGACGATTAACTTTGCCGTCGAAGCTGTGCAACTATTAAATTGACAAATCAAATTGAATTGTCAATACTCAATTTCTCTCTCAAATGGTTCAATATTTCAATCTTCCTATAAAATAAAGGGTTTTTCCAATTTAATTTTGGGTTCAGAGATAATTTATTATCATTTCATAGCATTCAATGCCAGCGTTGGAATAGCGTTCACAACAACCAAAACTGAATAAGTTGGTTGCTCTGTCAAACCGCAAGAGCTCTAAATATTCACTTCTCATTTTGAGGATAACTTCTAGAAGTTCCGATCGGAGACAATCGTTAATCAATTTGATCACCAGATATGTGGAGCATTAGAAGTTCTGTCTGAAACTTACTGAAGTTCTGTTTACAGCCATGTGCGTAGTAAGTTAGTAGCTCGAGACAAAAAGTTAAAATCAGCGAGAGGTTTGCTCTCAAACAATACGACTGGGGAGATAGTCTGCTTCTGTCTCCCTTTGTAACGTTGTCCCTGTCCTACCAAACAATGGTGGACAGGTGAATAGAACGATCGTTCAAACTACGAAAACTACTAAAAAATAATTTAAAATGAACCATCTTGATTCTATGTAGGCCGAGTAGGCGAAGATATTTAACAATCTGGTAAAGACAAGTAATAAAAGCGGTTGGATTTCTATTTAGCTATCAAAAACTGACCGACTTTAAAATTACATCTTTTGTGTGCATGCTACAAGATAAATAAATATACAACGTGTTTGGAAGTGGAGTTCAATTTTAGCTCTTTTTTGAAGAAAAAAGGATTAAAGAGAACGGAAATTGGCAGGTTTGTATGGAGTTTATTAGAAAATAGAGTTAGTGTTCCAAAGCCCTGCTCGGTTTTCGAGGCATGCTGTGAAGTCTCGGATTCATAACTCCTTAGTTACATGCGAGATTAGAAACTTAAATTTACAAGTCAGAAAGAAAGCTTTCCCTAAGGTTAAAACTAGGAAATTGAATTGTGARGAATATCTTCTTAGCAATAGATACGTTCTAATTACAGAATCTGTAAAATGAGGACTTGCTTAAATTTTTCTAGTTAAGATTAATACTATAATCTTAGTATTCAAGGATACGACAAGGCTAGAATTTTGACAAGAACACGACAATGTCGTAGCTTTTAACTAGCGATCGATTGACGGAGTTTGTATTCTATACTACTTGCAATAACCTTTATTCAAAGTTTTTTCTCAAAGCAACTCAATTTTAGGGAAAGTTAGCGCAATTCCTAAAGCAACAAAATTTGAATATTTTATCAATCCAACAAATGAATACTAGAGCAAAACAAAGAATTCTGATCAATAATAAATAACATGCAAATTTGCTTTTTCAAGTGGCATATTGATGCGATTAATATTTCATATCGAATGGCATCATACGCCGAGAGCTTCTCTTCTCCTAATATTCAACAATTTAAACTTTTCGACGTTCAAATAAAATATTTTTTAAAACCTCTTTGTGTTAAACATAAGAATGGTTATTTTGTCTCAATTGTAAATTCAAAAAGTAAAGGATCCGAAATCCTATTACTGGTACCTGTAGAATCAGAGAATGACAGGTCTGTGTTTATGCTCAAAAAAAAAAAAAAGAAAAAAAAAGAAAAGAAATATTTGAGTATTTCGGAATGTAGATCAGGTTTATTCTATTAGCTTACTAGCGAGGTCCATCAACTATAAATACTAATTTCGGACTCGCGATTGAATTTGACAGCGATTGTAAATCTTGTTTGAAAATCCCTTGCTCGAGACATCCCGAATGTCGTTGATCTATCAGCTATTTTATTTATACAAATTTTCTTGAAGATTGTAAGGAAGACTCTCAAGTCCTCACTCTTGTGAGTAAACGTAATGGGAACCTAGCTGGCATTACTGCAGCACACAAACAATTGACAAGATTGGGAAGTTGGAAAGGTTTTCCCTAAAAAACGACTAATTCTACTTCAGAGAAAGCTAGTGATAACGATTCATTGAATATTAATTAAAAATGTGGTTTACTCTAGGCTGTTTGATTCAACATTCTTTCAAGCCACCACAATTTATCGCGAAATAAAACTACGAATACTTAAGTGAGTCATTTTTCTCTCTTATTTCCACGCGCCACGAAAAATGGAAGTCAAACTAAATGCTAACCAAAAAATTTCACCTTTATACAATATCAACTGACTTTCATTTATAACAAACCGCAAAGATGGTTTTGGACGCGAAAGTCAAGCGCAAAATAACTCCAAACAACGAAAAGATATCGCGAGAGAAATAAAATACCCTGTTAAAACTACAAAATATGAGCGCGTAAGATTTAAATTCAAGTTAACGATATGCTAAATCGAATAGCTGTAATTGTAGAATTTCCCAGTCAAGTAAACTATAACATCAGGCAATGTTATTATTTATAGTAAACTGGTGGTGCGATTCTTGTCCGATATACGAAGCGAATCAGACAGAATCGCAAAAGCTTTTCTTAAATGAGTACAATTAATAGTTTTAGCTAGATTTCGATCTACAAAAATATGAATACAAGAACACGGAGCTTCGTTTTAAATATAAATATGTAACGATTACAAAATATATATAGCTCAGAGTCGCTTGATTTATGTCGTTAGAAATGAAAGAAAATTTACTAGGAATCCCTAAATTCAACTTGACTTTTCAAACAAAAAACAGTATAATTTATTAGTATCAGTGAATATGAATTAGCGTCTAAGATACGAAAAAATCGAGTAAAGCATTTTGGTTTTAGGGATTTCAAATCTGTTTATTTCCTAATGTTTTGACCGTCAACTTACAAACGCCGGTTAATAAATCTCCCTAGACAGAGAAGCTGGGGAAAAAACCCGATTTCTTATGAATAGCTTTGGATTTATGGCTCAGAAATCGTGTCAACACAGAAAGAAGATCTTGAATTCGATCGATTCGAATATTCTCCGTAGATTTATTCAAGGACATAATAATGAACGCTACTACGTGAATCAAATTCGAATACAAACTAAGATGAATCCGAGTGACTCGTGTTCAGAGTCTACAAATCAAATCAATTTGAGGGACGAAAAAAACCCGGATAAACTTTCGAATAGTAAAATATATTATGAAAAGAAAACTTCGCCGAAATGAAACTACGCGGACATTGAAGGCTGAAGCATAATATTTAAATATTAAAATACCAGCTTAGAAGTAAGAATGAAGTCTTCCCTACCAAAATTTAGAAGGAAAATCCTCGCAACTCCAATTACAATCAAATTTCAAAAATCGCAATCATGATTTTGGAAATGCCAGTCAACATTACACCGGTAACCGACAGGAGAAAGCTAGTCAAAAACCCGAAAGATGCAAATGTATCTCTGAATGTATGTATGCAGAGAAGTATGCAAAAATGTGTCTTGTRGCTGAGCGTGCGAAACACAATGAGAGGAAGGCAAGAATATGGGTGGTAGTAAATTTGTCATAATATCACGAGCCCTCAAGGAAAGAAAAGGCTGAATTTAGAGTCTTATTGCTTTGTCCTTACCGGGGCTTCCTGCTCACCACAGTCACGATCCCTTAGAGGTACACCTAATAAATGCTTGGGCACTACTACTGTAGGTTGCTCTTCAATCAATTCTCCATCGTTATTTTCACTCCCATTTGCCAGCATAAGCTGAGAGCGCTTGAGACTTTCTTCCCTTGAATGTCTGTCATGTTCTATCGCCTTGAGATGGGCTCGAGCTGCAGCTTGGGCCGCAATCATAGTGACTTGGTTGCTGCAAGTGAAGGTCTTCGCTTAAGTTCACCTGCGCCACCAGGGCACATAACATTTGAAGTCCACTTTAAAAGTCCGTATGACTTACAATAGCGCTCGTCTCCCAATATATTACAACCAGAAACTGATGGAACAACAACTTGAGCCTACGGCCCGGCCAATCTGTACATTTTTCCGATTTCTACGGTTCAAGAAATCAGAAAACTGATGAAAAAACAACGATTCGCCATGACGATAGGGCTGATAAACAGGGATTCATTAAAAATAAACCAACACCTGGTTCAGTACCGGTCTAGCTCGCAAAGCACCACGGGATAGTTCTTGCTGGACGTCACCCGGCGACAGAGCACGCCGATTGGTCGAGCAAGTCTACGCTTTTATTCCAAACGACCTCGAATAATTTGAACGGAAAATGCAAAATACCTACGGCCGACTCACGGCGGGCTAGGAGAATTAATATTTGTAGGTGTTCGTTTTCGGAGAAATTTCTATTTCTACATCTATATATCAATCGTTTAATGGGGATATATTTATTTGAAAATAAGAAAACAATTTATTCAATGATCCAAAATAAAACAATACAACCTGTTGTTGAATGAAAATAAATTCCCAAATTAAGCTTTTGAATTGGAATTTCCAAAGCGTTACAAATATTCAATATTGACTTCAAACAAAAACATTCAAACTAAGAAAATGATTTTACGGCGTTGAGTGGTTAATGAAGTCACGTGATAAAACCTCGAATCACGTGATCAAACCCGCATAATGCAGATTAGTTTTTTTTCCCGTGGATGTGCAATCTGCGAGTATTACTAAACCAAACGTAATAACAAAAGCTTATTCCTAGCTATAACCGAATCAATGAAATCGTAAACGAGCCTAAAACGCTATCTTCCGGAAGACAGACGAGGAATATCAACCCTCCTCTTCAAACTACTTCGAACTGTTTACCTTTACGTGTGTTATTTTAAGAACTTGAAAACTCCTCAAAAAAGATATAAGTACGTGCCTAGCTGAACGCTAAAATGGAAATTCAAAAAATGTATATCATAACATTTTTCCTAACAGAAGTAGAGCCGTCACATTTAATTGCAATATTTTTATCTTTATATTTCTATCTTTTAAACTTTTTGATTTATTTCGATATGTTTCTTCGCAAATAATTTTTTTCGGGCCGATTTTTATCGACCCAGAAGGATAGTACAATTAAAACATAACGCTGAGGGAATAAAAAGCAAAACAATCAATACTCTTAGAGGTTTTTTCGAGAAGAATAGATTTCCTTTTCTTGCGCGTTTTGTGTTGATTTTGCTTCACAGAGTTCTGAAGTTTGACCAAGTTCATTAACAACGACTAAACACAGGGTTCAATTCTGTGCTTAGAAACAGACAGAATTGCTAATTACCGAAAAAATGGCGAATTGAATTCTTATTAAGATTTATCACAAATCTTCAAACGTAAACACGGTTGGAAGTAACCACAAGGGAAATACGACAGGTACTCCAAGTTCTAGCGTCAGTTAAACAGGAAAGTTCCGGAATTGTTCCCTGAGGATTTCCGCGAAAATGTGAAGGCTTCTGAGATGAGTTTTTTCGAAAGGCATCGAATTGAATGAATTCTCATTCTTTATGGAAATGGCTTTCAAAATGCCTGAATTAATATTAAGAAAAAACGCTTACTTATCGGGATCTATTTTCTAAATACTTTTTTTCAGTTTCATGACTTGAACTATTCTTTTATCTTAGTCGATCAAAAAGTTTTACCAACCATCAAAGCTTAATCTGGATGAAGATTATGATTCTCCCGCGCTGTTGTGCCGAGTTTAGACTTCCTTGTTTATTAGTAATTTTATCTTAAGGGCTACTTAAGTTTACAAAGTGTTAGCCCCTAATCAGCATGGTAGGCAAACTAGAACGTTAAAAGGCGAATCTTTGTTTAAATTTTCCAAAACAAGCGACAAAATTTGATGTGTCTGCGAAAGTTTTTTTTTGTGGTTGTTGCAAAGAATCTCACGTTTGGTGTTGAAGTTCCATCGTTTATGGCTGTATTTTCCTTACCTTTCGGTTGGGTTTTCCATGGTATTCGACGTGTCTTTCTTCGCCCCAGTTGTTTTGAAACAGCAATGGAATTGATCGTTGCATTTTATACTTTCCAAACTCATCCCCATCGACTCTTGCCTGCCAACGACATATTCCTGCGCGACAAGAAATGATTTTAATAGTTAATGTCTCGTAAAGATCAAAATGACATTTTTTTCCATACTGAACAAGGTTTTCCCAACACGACAGTCACTTGCTATTGTTCTAAAGTCCCAATGAAAGCCCTTGGTTCAATTCTATTTTATGAGATCAACCAACGAAGACAATGAACTTAATCAATATGAGAGCCTAGAGAGATATTGCAACGCTGTCATCGTAACATTTAAGCAACTATTAATGGGTGTATTGTAGCCACTTAATGTTGCTTTATAGGAACGATTTAAAATATCTAGAGAGAGTTGGTTTTGGATGCTAGTAAATTGGAAGAATTATTGGTGATTGTCATGTCAGGGCGCTTTGGGGGTAAAATTCCTAAACTTCTTAATTAAGAAATGACCGTCTCTAGAGGTTGATTGTTAACACGGTTAGGCAGGACTGACAGAAGTTCTGTAACTAATATTAAAACATGGAAATATGTCAAACATATATACACTAAACTGCAAATGAATGAACCAATCAAAAGTCGAAAACCGGCAAAACAGATGTCGAAAGGACGAGAGAAAATTAACATAAGTGTTACAATTGAAAAAAGTCAACACAAACAAGGAAAAAGATTTAAAAAACACTAGTTAACTAGGAAATAACTGCTGTTTGAGAGTAATCGATGTTACAACTACAAGATAAAAGATCTCGAGGGTAAAAGTAACGYCTGAGACTGATTTCAACTCACTCCAAATCATGGATAAACCTTGTGTAGTTAAACTTTCCCCCAACCAAACAAACGAATTGCAATTCTTTTTGAGCGATAAATTTCAGACCAAAACAGGACAAACAAGTGTTTGATAAATAGACTCGAAAACAAACATTTCTTTCCTTTATCCTAGAAATATTAAATAACTCTATCGGACTTGTTTTACGGTTTGGCTGAAACGTTTTGTGGTCTTTTTTAAAAATAACAACAAACAAACAAAAAATAATTTGTTGAGTTTAAAAAGAGAGTATATTGACAATACAAACACCAACCAGATGGCGTCAAATCCCCAGGAATTCGAATCAAAGTCATTATTGAATTCTTAGGAGAATTCTAATTTCTTACGACAGAACTTTTGTCTTCTTGTCAATCAAAGAATGACGTAGAACAAATTAGGATGTTTGTTTATGCGTGACGTCATGAGGAGTATTTTCAGGCACCAGTCTCTCATCAGTAGTACGTGAAAGTTACAATTCAAAAGATAAACAAAGACTCTCCTTAGATTTTGGATTAAAAAACAAAAAAAAAAAAAACAAAAAA